CATGGTGAACAAATTTAAGGGTGTTTTGTCACTCTGCAGGTGACAGTCAAAGGGGTCACCTCCTGCCTACCCACCCCTGGGCAGGGCAACTTGGGCTGCGTGGTCGAACGCTGCCCAGCGCGGTGGACCCTGCACCACAGCGCTGATGAGCACATGGTGGTAAGTGCTGATGCAGTTCCTCACCTTGTAGATCACCCTTTTGTTCAGCAACATGTCTCAGATGTTCAGTTAAACAAACTATTTACTATTGGCTCTGCTCTTTGCTAACCTCAGGTTTATTTACTCGGTAATTTATCAGCCAGGGCCCAGGTCAGCATCATGGTCAGGGCCACCATCAGACTCCACCAAGCACCAGGAGAGTGGGTGCATGGCACCACAACGTTTTGACCTGTTCATTCTTCTGGGCTGCTCAGGGATGGCAGGGTTCCTGCTCTCTGAGATAAATAATGTGGGAATAATAGTCCCATTCCAGACCATTTCCTCCAGGCTGTTGCTGGTTTCTGCCCCAAGTCTAATCGCCCCAAACACTGAATTACGCCTTGGTTGCTGCTGTACGCTCCTTGTTAGATAGAAGCTCAGGGGCAGCAGTGCCTCTGCTTGGGCAATCTCTGCGTGGTCACTGCAGGGGCTGGCGGGGAGATGCCAGGTACGTGCAGGACGTGACTCAGGTCCTGCCAGTTGGGAGCCAAACTGCTGCACGGGAGAGGCTGGGCTGGCTGCAGGCTGGCAGTGTGTCCTGCTCTGCTCCAGCTGTGCCTAGCAATGCCTGCCTGGGTGTCTTGGCTGCTATCCAGCTCTAGTAAATAGCAGTAGAAATGCAATGAGATCTGTTGGAAAAAACCCCACCCTGACCATCCTACCAACCAGAGGCACAGTGCCTGGAGAATGCAGAGAGGTTTCCAGCACCCCGCGGTAACGTACGACTTTGTCGCTTTGGTGGTTGCCATGATGCTCTTCCAGAAAAGCTGTGGACCTTGCTGAGCCATCACTGAAGTGGAAGGGCGACAGCGATGTGTGCTGGGTGAAGGACACCATCTCCAGTCCATGGGCTGGCTCAGGGGACATCTCCTCCAGCCTCGGCAGCAGAGCAGTTGCTCACTCCACGGCACGGTGGCTGGGCAGAGCTGTGTTGTGCCCCGGCTGAAGCCTCTGCCGCCGGCCCGTTTTGGTGACGGCACAGCAAGTACCAACCCAGCAGCCTGGCACTTGTAGACGATAACACCAGTGGGTCAGAGCCATGTTGTAAAAGCAGCTGAACGTTCCTTAAAGTATTTGACCTGCTGCAGCCCGGGCTGTGTGACTGTGGTGCTGGTGGCAAACGTATAGTTATGTATGTCAGAAGAATAGAAACGTGAATCGCTTGATGATGGCAGCACGGTGGGGATGGCATCGGGGCTTCTGCAACACATCCACTGTGGGGGCACTGGGTGGGAGCTGACATAATTAGCTGCTTGATGATGATTATGATGGTAAAGAGACTTTGCCTGGCGGTGTAAAAGGCACTAATGCATTGCCAGGTTATTTAATCTCAATAAATCATTTTAAAATATTCAGCTGTTATTTACGTTAAAGCAACATTTGATGCCTCTGGGCAGTATTCAGCTGTTATTTATGTTAAAGCAACATTTGATGCCTCTGGGCAGAAACACAGAGGAGATTCAATATTTGTTATACATTAATTGCGCAGACTTAGGTGAGTACATTTACTTTGATAGTTTTTTGCCTAATAATATTAAGCCTAAAAGAGAATGAAGGAGGGGTTTGCTGGAGCATTCAGAGCTGTCAAAATCTGTTGGTTCCTCACTGTCTGATCATGTTTTACAGAGCTTAGGAAAAAAGTTGAGTCTCAGTTTTTTCACAGCCCACGCCTGCTCTTCTTGATGGTGGTTATATCAGGGGTTGCAGTTGTGTGTAGCCGCTCGCTAATGAGCCTCTTCGTGCCTTGATCTGGTAATAGTCATGCACTGCTTTTTATTTTTAAGCACTTGCTTAACTTCCATTAACTTAAGGCAGCATCCCACCAAATAAGTGTATTAAGGTAATAACAGGGTAATTAGTGAACAATTTTAGAGCATCGAACTATCCCCAATTTCACCTTGGCCTCTTGACCCAGAGCGCAGCATGTTTTTCCATCTCCTCCTTCTGACAGAAGGGGCCCTCACTTAAACGTGAGCCTGGCTGCAGCTCTGCTGTGTGTGCTGGGGAAGAGTGAGCAACACGAAAATGAAAATTTAAAAAAAAAAAAAAAAAAAACCCCACCATTACAGCCACTGGAAAATGAAGTGACTACTTAACTGGTTTTGTAAACCTTCAAGCCGAGCCTTATCTTCGCAGAAGAGCTCAGGAGAAGAGCAGATGGAAGAGGCCTTATTTGGGGTCATATGTTTTCAGCAAGAGGCAGCACTGAATGTCACCAGCTTGGCGTGGCGCAGCAGACACCAGCCTCAGCACGGCACGCTGAGCCGCAGCGGCTTTTCCTCATGTTTCTGCGCACAGCCTGCTTCAGACACACAAAACTCTTGACTCCTCCAGCTTCACTGTATGAACAGTGGTCCCTTTTGCATTTTCCAGTCTCACTATGATAGGTTTTGGGCTGTGACGTGACTGAGGCAGCAGAGAAGCAACCAAAATGATCAACTAAGCAAGAATAGCACAAGCTGAGGAACCACGGGTTTTTTCTTCCCACGTGCAGAGCTGTAGGTCAGCAGCAGCTCTTGGTGCTCCTGCAGCAGTGACTAAGCTTGGCCAACGTCGTAGCTCGAGACTCAGACTTTGCCAAGAGATCAGATTTCTGGGAACTTGCTCCGAATCAAATCTTAAAGTTTTCAGGCCTCACAACCCCAGACCAGCTCTGGCTCCTGAAAACAGGCATGTAACACAGGGTTCTGAAAGCAATGGGCTTGGCCTCAGTGATGACCTGTCCGATAAATTCTCATCTTCTGAAGCAGCGAGACTTAATAATAATGAGAGAAAAGTGCAGGGGAAATCCCTCAGTTGCTGGACCTGCCCTTTAGACATCTACCCCGTGGAGTGTGTTCAGCATTGCCTAAATGTGGCTGCTGCCCCCGCATCCTCTCAGCCAGCCCCGGCCGTGCCTGAAGTGAGCCCCGCTTGCCGTGGCCACACAGAAGGAGCCGAGGGCTCCCCGCAGCCCCTCTTTGCCTCCCGGCTCGTGCTGGCAGATCCCCCACTTACCCTCCTGTCTTTGTAGCTTGCAGGAGGAGAGGGACACACGGCTCACACGGAGGAGACCGCAGTGTGATTCACAGGCACAGCTGCGGTTCTGTGGGAATAAAACCCTTCCCTGCCTCACGGGCCGGAAGAAAATCAAGACAAACGTTCTTAGGAAAGGAGGAGCAGGGTAGCCAAGCCAGAGTAAACAAGCACGGAGAGAAGGGTGTGGGAAGGGGGGGACGTGTGTCAGCCAGCAGATGCTAACTGGCTGTGGAGAAGACAGTAATGGGTTTCTCATGTTGTCTTTCTGGCAGTTGCCGGTTCTTCATATCTCCAAAAAGCGACCCGACTGATGCTTTGACATTGGCATCTGTTCTGGTTGCACCCAAACCAGCTTGACTTTTGCTGCTTTAGGTTCCAGCCCTGTTTGTGTCTCTGAGCATCAGCCACAACCTTTGTTTTCTTGGCTATGAAGGCACCTGGTCCGCTGGGTTAGGAAAGGTGTGGGCAGCGCATGGCTCTGCACCCCTCAGCACTGCACAGCTTGCCCCTGGACCACTGTGGAGCTTCTTTGTAGCACATGTGAGAGCAGCAGGTGCCCAAGGCGTTTACTTAAAAATCTGGATCTTTACAACCAGTTATGGTGGGTCAGCAGGGCACAAGCATCGTTTGACAGCAGCAACTATGCATGGCTGTATGGTTTAAGCCCACTGATGAGTTCAGCAGCTGCAGGTCCAGGTCTGTGTGTGGCTTCAGGACGTCTTGATGGTGCATGTCCCACAGAATTGGCATGTCACATATACAAGCAGTGGAGGCCAACACCAGCCTGGGAGCTAAGCGAAGCTGCCCGCATCAGCACTGTTGATGGAGGATGCATAAAGCAGGGACGTCAAATGGGGGGAGAAGAACCCAGTGTCCCTGGCTCCCAGCTCCACGCCTGGATGTGAGACTCTGAACAGAGACACAAACCCTAACTTGTAACTCTCCTAAGCAATCCATCACTAGCAGCTGCTTTCAGATGCTGGCTCAGAAAAGTCTGTCGGGGTATTTGTTACCAAGCCACAACAAGCTTGCGTGGGCTGCAGTCTGGCACGTGTAAACCAGCAATTGCACTGTTTGGGAAACTGGTAGGATCCCTGGTTTCCACACACGTGTACTTCCCACCTTAGTGTGTGAGGTAGCATGGGAAGGGACATCACATTATGGGACTGCTGCAGTATCCAGTGAAAGCCAGCATTGCTGCAGGCATAAAAGCAGCCCAAGTTGAAGCAAGTTGGCTGTGGAATAAAGGCTGTAAGTGTGTGGTGATGTTGGTTAAGTCTTAAGCTACCCATTACAGTGTAGAACTGAGAGCCAGCATTGTCTCAGCTGTAATAAGTCAGCCCAGAAGTTCATGTAGCCCAGCAACATGCCCTGGCGTGCCCAATAATGGCTGCTTAGAGCAAGAGAGTAAGTTGGTGGTTACAGAGTGAGCCTTCCCCCTGTTCTTGCCCTCCTTGTAGTTGGTGGTTCAGGCTCATGCAATGATAAAGCCTTTTTTAAGACTCCAGGTCCTTACCTCCTATTGAAGGATGTTTGCGGGCAGGGGCGGTGCTTGGCACCTCTCAGGGATAGTGAGTGAATCACCTCCCCAAATCATTTTGCATAGGCTTATAGCACAGGTGAGATTTTTTACCCCTCTGGTGATCGCAGAGGTGAGGTTCCTGCATGGGTGTGGGTGGGGCTTTTGTGGCATTAGCCAAAATGCTGATGACTTTCACTGCCGGGAAGTCATGAGTGCTCACTTATTTAATGGCTCTATCTCGATTTTATTCTTGGTGCTGTAGGTATAATAGTCTGGTGACTGGCAAGCGGGCAAGAGGACTCATCGCTGTGCTGTGGCTCCTGTCCTTTGGAATTGGACTGACTCCCCTTATGGGCTGGAATAAAGCTATGAGCGGTTGTCCCAACGCCACCAACGAGACAGGGGCTGACACCGGGACAGAGCACCATGGCTGCTTCATCTCATGCCTCTTTGAGAACGTGGTAACGATGAGCTACATGGTGTATTTCAACTTCTTCGGCTGCGTGCTGCTTCCGCTCATTATCATGCTGGGAATCTACATTAAGATATTTATGGTTGCCTGCAAACAGTTGCATCAGATCGAACTGATGGGCAACTCCAGGACCACACTGCAGAAGGAGGTCCACGCAGCCAAGTCTCTGGCCATCATCGTAGGACTTTTTGCCTTCTGTTGGCTGCCCCTGCATATCTTGAACTGCATCACTCTCTTCCATGAGGAGTTCTCCAAATCCAAGCCTGAGTGGGTGATGTATATGGCCATCATCCTCTCCCATGCCAACTCTGTAATCAATCCCATCATCTATGCCTATAGGATCAGGGACTTCCGCTACACCTTCCACAAGATCATTTCCAAGATCCTCTGTAAGACGGATGACTTCCCCAAGTGCGCCACTGACAACAACCAGCACCTGACTGTCACCAACATTAATTCTCCAGTAGCCTCTGTGACCATATGACCGTGCATGTCCTGCTCCTAGGATTTTGCAGTCTGTCCCTGACACTACCCTTCCCTGTGCCTATGTGAACAGTTGCGGCTAACTCCTAGAGGAGTGCTCAGAGATGACCACTATGCAGTTATGCAGCTGTATTTTTTTTTTTTTTAATTATTTTCATAATTAACCTAGTGCCTCCTAGAGGAATAACCTGACCAAGGAGACTGAGCGCAGCTCACCCTCGCTGTAAACCCAGGTTGTGTGAGTGCTGGTGATCGTATCATATTTCCTTTCCAGGTCAGACATTGACTGTGGGAGACCCACCTGCTGGTGGTGCTTCCCCAATTGTGCTGCTCATATTAAGTCCTAGGATCTTTATTTTAATTATTATTATTTTTTTTTAATCTTTTGATTCATTTAGGAGTAATAACTTTGTGTCTGTTTTTGGGTTGTTCTTTAAGTCCACACTTGACAGCACTTTGGTAATACCCTAATTATTCCATCAATTGTTTGATGCAGCTAGTATTCTCCGATGGGAAAAAGTCTTACTTAGCCCAGTTGCTGGTGTGAAACTGAATCTGTGTTCCAGGTTCTGAGGGACGTGACTGTGTTGATGGGAAAACAAGATCAGAACTGGCCAGCTATTTTTGGCCCCAGTATGGAAGCCCTACTTACTGAAAGAGAAAAATTTTAGAAAAGAGATGACTGAAGTTTTAGAACAGTGGTTTTATTGCCTTTAAATCACTTTGGTCTATAGGATTATGCAGACCAGTGCTTCAGGTTTGATTTCAAATCTGTTTCCTGCTATCAAAAGGCCAAAGTGCCCTAATATTCCTAGCTAATCTGATCCAGAGTCACTGAGCTGAGTGCAAACACTCCCTTGGTGACATGAGCTCTACAATTAGATTTTTTTACTCCCAAGTCAGAACTTGACAGCCTTGCAGTGCTTCCAGAAGTGCAGGTTTTAGCTGTGATAGCTGGATGCTGCAGCTTGCCTGATTCCTAAAACTTAGTCTTGCTGGGCTTCCTCTGTAGCCCAGTAGCCCCCAGAAGCTGTGAGTGCTTTTTTTTCTAATGGTAATTTTTCTTTTTTTTTTCTTTTTTTTTTTTTCAATCCTGACCTGCATCAGTAGCAAAAGAGACTGGAAGGGAGTTAATTTGCTTGAGAAGCTAGAATGCCTTGACTTGCGACCTGTTTTTGGCCAAGCTATTTGGGGAAGAAGCTCACCTCGCAGATTGCCCGGCCTGCCCTCTGCAGTTAGCCACGGAGTCCTGGCCCTTTGTGAGGACAAAGCCCACTCAACAGCGGAGCAGTCTTGATTTGTACTGCAAGTTAATGACTCCCTGCAACCACGGCTCAGTAATTACTGTGCCTGGTTTCATATGTAACTGTGATATGCAAAACTAGACAAAGGTAGAAAGAACAGTGCATTAATTTCTGAAGTACGAGCTCCACGTCTCCAGACTGCATGACGGCACGTGCGCTGCTGTAAATGAACCAGTGTTTCTGGCATGTCTTTTATTTTGCAGGGCAGTTTCATTGCACAACTGAGAGGAACAGGGAGGGGAGTCAGAAAAACAGCCTCCCTCCTTCGTGCCCCAAAGCCAACTGTGGTACAGAGACACAGCTGTTCTTGACTAGCTCAAACCTGCCATCGCACTGTGGCCCCCCCCCTTACAAAGGGGAGTTTTGCCTGAAGGTCCCTACGCGGTAAAGCGGTACCAGCTCTCTGCGAAGGACTCAATGTCAGCGGCATCACCCTGCGACCAGTGAGAAGCTGGAGTGCAAGGATTTGTGTTAAATATGGTTTTCGGTGGTAACTCATGCAGGGAGGCAGGGATAGGGAGCAGGTCTTTTAGAACCAGGTGGCAGGGAAGGAAGTTTAAACACAGCCAGTTCCTGAAGAACAGGTCCAGTGGACAGACTGTGATGCCTGGAGCAGTTTGTCCCTGATAAATTGTACTTGAATCATACAGAAATCAGCTATTTTTTTTTTTAACTGCATTGCACTAAAAGGGGGTAATATAAGACCCCCAGAGTTTCATTTCTCTGGCATATATAATGACAAATACGGTGTACAAAATCAGCTGAAAAGCTGATCTGAAGAAATCCTGTTCCTGCAGCATCTGCTGTGCCAGCTGGCGTGACCTGCAGGCAGCAGCTGCAGGTATGACCTAGGGCCCACCATGCAGACAAGAGGACGGCTCGCTAGGAGTGATGGATTTCGCTACCGCGTGTGTAGCAGCTCAGCCGTAAGATCTAGCCCCAAACCTTGGTGAATCACCAGTAAGCTCTGAATGGGTTTGTACATGTTTATGCAATGTCCAAATTTAGCTACAGCTCAGTATCTCAGGTACTGGCATTTCCAAGAAGATGAATTAGTTAAAAGTTACTGTCCCACGTGTTTCTCCTTCAACAGCCTCATTGAGCTTTGCTGCATCTGCCTTGCTCATAGTCCAGCTAACACATGTAGCCACCTCCTGCCATTTGGGCAGGGTTTGACTCTCTCCTCCTTTTATTCCTTCCCTTCAGTATTATCTTTGGCTGTGTTCCTTCTGTTAATCATGGCTGGAAACAAGCAGGGTTTCACCTGCAGGTCTGGCAGTGTTGCAAAGCAGTTGCAAGCCACATTTATCCTTACAACAAAGAATGTAATCTCTCCCCTCCTCCTGGCTGAAAATGAACCAAACTCTGGACAGCACGAACAGACTGAAACATGCAGCACTGCAGTACAGAGAGATGGGCCCAGAACACTTGCTCGTATGCGACAGCTTGCACTGCAGCTCAAGCACCCGCTACTGCTACCTTTCATATGCCTCTTATGAGCCAGAATTCCTTTAGACGTGTGTGGTGTTTCCTCAGTATGACTGTGCCATCGGGGTGTTAGCCATTATTAACTATGGCCAGGGTCGCTGTGGTCTTTAGGCACATTAAGTGCCTTCGTGGATCTGAGCCAAAGTAATTTCAAATAAAAATAGGACTCCTCTCTTGCCCCCTCAGAAAAAAGCTCTGAAGGTTTCTATAAGAATGTGAAGTGAAAATAGCAGAGGAACTTTCTGTAGCGAGTGCAGCTGTAGCTATTCAGCTATCACTCATTACTGCTCTAATGTACATAGGATGGATGTGTTTTCCTCATGTTGCTCAGATTTTGTATTTGCAGTAACTGTTATTTACATACAGAATGCTTAATTTACCACCTACACAACCTGGCTCAGCCTGTGCCCCATTATTTCTTGTGGTGTTGTGTTCACACGGCGTATCATACGAGGCCACGCTGTACTCGAGGAGGAGCCCAATCTCAGCAGAGGCAGGGAGTCACAGAGCTGGAAGGAGCTGGTTCCCAGCTCACCGGCTGGTGTGCGGAACGGGGGAGCAGCAGTCTCCTTTCCCCCATGTCTGACATGGACAACCTCGCCTTGCCTATCAGCAGGAGGTGGTCAACTTGTCTGAAATGGGTCAATTTAAAAGCACAGCAGCCAGAGTGATGCTTCCAAAGATCCTGTATTAGAGTAAGCACAGCAGAAGCACAGACCTGTCATCGGTCTCGAGGTGCTGAGGGGTCCCTTGCCCTAGTCCCTGGTACAGGTTTTGCCAGCGATGAATCAGAAACTGCTTTGAGTTGCCAGCTGCAAAGAGCCACTGCAGCATCACCCTGTCAAAGGCCAACTCCACAAAGTCGTGCAGGCACTGGAAGGGCGGTGGGGTTAGTCAAAGCACGAGCAGAGTTAAAAAGGTTGAATGGATCACCGAGACCTGCTGGACTGTTCGTATCCCCACATCACAAGCACACAATACTGCAGATTAGTTCAAACACCTTCAGCAATCCCAAGAATAGCCTAAATAAATGAAACTAAAGTCAACACAGGCTTCTTAACGTTTATTAATTAATTCATCAGTGCAAGGCTGCTAATTAACGTGATGCTTGGCTGCAGCACAGGAAGAAACCTACCAGCCACAATGAACATTTGACAGCCTTGTAGACACAAAAACATGCCAGCTACACAGCTGGGAGGGTAGACAGAAAGCACGTCCACATGTGATCCAAATCCTTCATCCTTCATCCTCTTCCTCAGCTAGTAAGATGCTTGTGAGCTGCTCCTCAGAGACAGACAGTTCCTGGCAGGCTCCCATGGCCTGACTGAGGTAGACAGCAAGTATATGTTTGCACTGCAAATAATAGCGCAGCCAAGTTAACAGCAGGAGCAATGCAGGAATGTCATGCTCTATCTGAAAGCCACAAAAATCCATCCTGGCTAGAATGGGTCTAATGAAGCGCTCACCCCTCCCAGGAACATGGTTCCCTCTTGGTATGCCAAGCCCTGGCGCAGGCTGGCGCTCCAGTTGCACCAGGATAACGTAATACAGGGATCTGACACACACCGAAGTGTTAACTGGCTCCTGATGCCTTCCCCACACACATGCAGAAGAAGGTAGACCCAGACTATAAAGAACAAGAGTCAGCTTGGTACTGTCTGGCAACCCACACGGCTCTCAAAAACAAGAGTATTAGGCCCAGCTGACAGAGGTCCTGGAACGGACGGGCTTCCCATGAGGGAGGGATGGTTGACACAGAGCAGGGGGACATGTGCAGACCAATTATTTACCCTGAGCCCTCCCTCATTGGCACGAGGTGAACTGCACCATTTCATCAGCCAGAGTCCATGTGGCAGTCCCATTAGCAGCAATAGCCCTTGTTCCAAGAGACCAGGGATTATTCATCTCTTGAAAGTCAGAACAGTAATGTGTAATTAAGAACAAAAGCCCTCCCTAGCCCTTGTAAGGCCTAGCTCCACCCAAATACCGCGATTCCCAGAGGCCAGATTATGCAGTGGGTCAGGCACAGCCTGCGTGGCCAACTCAATGCTCATGTGTTGGCTGCCTCGGAAACTTCAGGCTGCTCAGGTTCAAGAAGCAGAGCACAGCCTTCTCCCCCATTCCCTGTCCCGGCCCCAAGTTAAGACAGACAACTTACCAGAAGGCTCTCGCTTTTCTGCAGTACAGTAAATCCGAAAGCGGGACACGTGCAGAAGTGGCAGGAACTGTAGCAGGTGTAGAGTTTGCCTGAGCTCCCAAGGACCTGAAACAAAGGCAGCGGAGGTCGTGGGAGTCAGAAACAGCATTCACTTTTAATTTCTCTAACTCTTAGCCTGTATCTGGCCTGATGTCCTCCCCACAATGACTCACAGTATGCAACTGGCGAGCAGGTGCCACAATACAAAAGCATCCCCAAACACTGCAGCGACCCATCTAAGCTTGAAGTTCCTCAGCTTTCTCACGGTCTCTGCACACTTCTCTCGCTACAGATGAGGAAGTGCTCCTGTACGTGCACCCGTGCTTACAGCAGACCTCAGCTCCAGTGACTTTGCTGCTAGGAGATCAGGGACAGGGCAGTAGCACTGAGC